GACATTTCTTGAGCCTTTGATGTTCACTGCAATCATCTGCTTCATTGTTAAGATCAGAAAACATATGGGATGAATTGGTAAGGACTACTAAAAGTTTCTGTTGCCTTTTCTTTCCCAATTTATCTGTGGCCAATTTAAGACATTCTTGAAACAGATCTTGCATAGCTACCTTTAAATCATATTCCAAATCTAGGACACATTAATAAGAGGTTAGGGAAAGAAAGTTGAAGATGGGAAATTAAGTATCCTCAGGGAGCCTCTCTGAAACAAATACCTTCAGATACTGTAGCAAATGTTAATAATCCAGAATTCTGGAGGCTGAGACAGAAGGATCTCAAGTTCTAAGGCAGCCTGGACTACACACAGCAAGACCCCGTCTTTACAAAAAGAGATACGGGCTGGGAATGTGGCTTAGTGATAGAGTGCTTGTCTAGCATGCATGAAGCCCTGGGTTCAATTCCTCAGTACAGAAAGAGCCAAAAGTGGTGCTATGGCTCAAGTGGTAGACTGCTAGCCTTGAGCAAAAGAAGCTCAGGGATAGGACCCAGGCCCCAGGATTAGCAAAAAATTAAAATTAGAAAAAAAATTAGTCAGGTGTAGATGACTCACGCCTGTAATCCTAGCTACTCTGGAGGCTGAGATATGAGGATCAAGGTTCAAAGCCAGCCCAGGCAGGAAAGTCTGTGAGACTGTTATCTCCAATAAACCACCAGAAAACTGGAAGTGGTGCTGTGGCTCAAGTGATAGAGTACTAGCCTTTAGCTGAAGAGCTCACGGCCAGTGCCCAGACCCAGAGTTCAATCCCTACGACTGACCAAAAAAATTAATTTAATTAAATTTAAAAAGGAGCTATGTTGCCGGGCGCTGGTGGCTCACGCCTGTAATCCTAGCTACTCAGGAGGCTGAGATCTGAGGATCTCGGTTCAAAGCCAGCTAGGGCAAGAAAGTCTGGAAGATTCTTTTTTTTTTTTGTCGGTCGTGGGGCTTGAACTCTGGGCCTGGGCGCTGTCCCTCAGCTCT